TCAATCAAGCATACCCCCACAGACAACTGCAGGCGACGATTCCAAATCTTAGGTTGGTGCATGCACATCAGACGCTATGGCTTTGGTGCTCGAGGGTTTGTTGCGTTGCCTTTGTGCCCTATGGTTGGTGTCCCATACTTGTTGTTTTGTGGTCGTTGTCATACGGCGCCGTATGGTTGTTGCCTTGTGGTCGGTGCCCCCTGGCGCCCGAAGTTTGGTGCGCTACGGTGGCCTCTGATTGGTGCTCTACGGTGCCGCGTGCTTTGTGTTCGGCGCCTCGTGTTCGCATGGCCGGTACCCCGCAGTGGCCCATCGCTGGTGCCCTGCGGCTGGTGCCCTATCGTGAGTGTGCCCCACGGCGCCCTGCGATGATGCCCTATCGCGCCCCATGGCTGGTGCCCCGTGCTATGTCGGTGCCATGCGCTTGGTGTCCCGTGATTGGTGCCCTGTCGTGCCACCTGGTCGGCGCCTTGTGGTGATGCTGCCCTGCCATTGGTGCCCCGTGGTAGGTACCCTCTGGCTTGTGCCCTGTGGTTGGTAGCATGCAGCTTCCCCTCGTTGATGTACCCTGATTCTTGCCACATGGTTGCCCCCCTCACGGTGTGCCACGGATGGTGCCCCAGTCATGGAGCACCGCGCGGGCACGGCCAGAGAGCACCGAACGCGAACGGCACACCGGGACAAGCAAAGCAGTCAACGGCGCCAGCCGTAGAGAACCGCGCGGGAATGGCCACAGACACAGAAGCCGAATGGGAATGGCCAGTTTTGACGCACAGGGCAAACACAGGGCACCAGTTTAAGTTAACGCAGCAGGAGCGGCTCTACCAAACGGTGGCAGAGAGTGGCCGATTGCTGAATACACATGCAGCCATTGTTTGAATAATACACGTTGCCAGCTCGTGCGCCCTGAGCATTGACGCCATTCAGACAGTGGGCGTAACTCATGAGTGCCATCTGTGGGATGCAATGTTTGGGGTGCGATGCTCAGGGTGCGATGTACTGTGTGCAACCGATGGTGCGTAATGAAACAGATATTCGGCGCTCCAAGTTGTTCGATGCGTGGTGGACCTCCAGAGGTCTGGACAACTTCCCTTGGGCCGTTTTTTTTGTTTCACAGTTGTTTTTAGCGGACCTGGGGTTTGTTGGCTGCCCGCTGCGGCCGCAAACGGCCAAAACCCGGTTGTACTCCCATGCCTTCGGAGCCTCGGAGTTTTGGGTGTAGGGCGCTGTCCCGAGGATGCAACTGAAGGAGTGCAACCCATGGACTGCATGAGGGCGTGAACCAGAGGGCACCAGTCAGGCAGGGCCGACTGCGACGTCGAGCGCGCAGCATGCGCACCACCGCGGGGGAGGGAGGAGGAGAAGGAGGAGGAGGAGGAGGAGGAGGAGGAGGAGGAGGAGGAGGGGGAGGAGGAGGGGGAGGGGGAGGAGGAGGAGGAGGAGGAGGAGGAGGAGGAGGAGGAGGAGGAGGAGGTGGGGCACCAGCCAGAGGGCCCAAGCAGGGAAGGGCCGCCTGCGACGCCGCCGGCCGAACGTCTGGTACCAGAGCACAGGGCACAGGCCAAACGGCACACCGCACTCGAAGCGCAACACCAGCACGGGACACACAGTGAGAAAGCTAAAAGAAGGAATGCTGTGGGCTCAGGGGGGGCTCGGGTTATCGGGCCGCTCCTCAGATTTACATCGCAAGCCCTGTTCGTTGCCTGGGCCCGCCGTGGCCGGGGAAACCCTTTTCGTTCCTCAGTATGCGTTCCTTCATGCAGCACGGTGGCTGTGCACTCTCAGAGGTTCGCGCCAAAGCACAGGGCACAGGCCAACCGGCAGACCGCACCCGAGGAGCCACACCAGCCCGAGCACGCACCCTCAGAGTTTCGCGCTGTGTCTCTTGGATCGGCCCTGGGCCTGGGGCCTCCCCGGCGGCGGTCCCAGCGCAGCCCCATGGCGCGCGTCGCGCGCCGGAGAAGGGAGGTCCAGCGCCGATCCGAAAGATCCGCGCGGGCCTCTGAGGAATCATTCGTTCTTGGGCCGTTCTACATTCGAAGAAAAACGCCGTAAACATACACTGTTGGTGCTATGCGCGGAGTTCTTGCGTCCGCGCTGGGCCCCCCCCCCCAGCGGCCTCCGCCGCCGACCCTGGTGCGCTCCGCGCGCCTGGGAGGGGGGTCCAGCGTAGATCCAGGAAATCCGCGCTGAGTGGCAACAGTTTATGTTTATGGCGCTCTTCCTTCGTCTATACATACGCCACCGACGCAGATGGGAGCCAGCCGTGGGGCACCGACCAGGAGGGGGCACATGCGACGGCAAAGGCGAGCATCTCAGGGACCCGCTGCGGAGCCCCCGCTCTTTGCTGTTTCTCTGGTGGTCCTGGAGGGTCTGCTGGACAGCTCCCCGCCCGCCAAGTGTGGACCGCCAGGTCTCAAAAAGGCAAGGGGGGCCGGCCCTGCCGGACCGCCCCACACGCCGCAGCCGCCGACGCCTCTCCCCGCTCGCTCCCGGATGCCCCGCGCCACGCGAGGCCCAGATCGTGACAGAGCCACGACTCGAGGGACAGAGATATTCTACCCCGACCCCGAGAGCTGGCCTTTGCCCAAAGCGGCCCTGGGCGCTCACTGGACAGGCCTGCCCTGTTCGATTCTTTCCTGGGGAGCGCTTGCGAGACGGCTTGGCCTGTCGGGGTGCTTCTTGTGATGGGGGTGGATGGTCTGCCCCCGCATGGCAGACGAGAAACGGCAGGCGGTGACAGGACAGTTGGAGACTGAAGCTGCAGGCCATGCTAGACTTGTGGCAGGCGTCGACAGGCCGATGGTGGGGCAGTGAGAACATCCAGCAGCGCCAGACGGCCTGAAGTCATGTCGCGACGACTCGGCGACGACACCAGCGCGGCCGTTCAAGGTTGAGCGCCGCCGAAGGTCGTTCAGCATCGAGTTCGGTGGCCACATATGAACCCTACCCCCGCCCCCACGACTTCCGAGGCGGGACGGAGGTTCACTTCGTTCGGGAGCTCCCAAGCGGAGTGAACCCCCACCCCACCCCAGAAATCGTGGGGGGTGGGGGTCGGGTTCACATGTGGCCGCCTGCGAACGGCCCGCGCTCTCGCGAAAGCCGCGATCCTTCGAGGCTGACTGGCCCACGCGGTGCCAGAAACCAGCAGTCGTCATCCAACGGGAGCCCGCCGAGCCCGCCGTGCACGCAGAGTGCGCCCCCGACGCCGTGTGCTTTCGCTGGCCCCGGACAGGGCCAAGCCTGGGCCCGGGAGTGGCCGGTACTGGGTCTGGCCTTGGATGGCTCCGCGACACATGCGGCAGAAGAGTGGCCCTCCATTCGGTGGCAAATATGCCCTCGCAATTCCGTCTTTGGCGTCGGTCAGCGTCGATCAGCGTCCGGGAGTCGATGAGATAGCGCCGACGCTGGACGAGATGCGATTGCAGCCGCTTGCGCGCAGCCGCTTGCGCGCTTGGTGGTTTGGACCCCTCGCGCCCTCCCAAGAAGCCCAGCACCAACGTCAGGCCTTGCCTGGGGCCACTCTTGGGTGTAGCTGCCTGGCCAGGATGTGAACAGGATGGCCCTGACTCAGTGACTCACCACCTACCAAACCACCCCAACCCAACCCGAAGGCCCAAATTTATCCTCGATTTCCAGTGGGGGGGGTCGGGGAACGTTGAAAAAACACGTGGTATCCGTACCCCCCCCAACCCGAAATTCGGGTCAAATTCGGGTCTTCGGGTTGGGTTGGGGTGGTCTGGTAGGCAGTCAGTGACGGGCCAGTCCTGGTCCCAAGATGCGCCCGGCCTCTCCTCGGGGTCGGCCCTGGCTGGGTTGGTACGGGGGTGGCCAGGAATTCGGATCGGGGATCGAGCGAGGAAGTGGAGGAGGGAAAGAGGGAGCAGGGGAAAACATAAGGATAATAAGGAGGAGGAGGAGGAGGAGGAGGAGGAGGAGGAGGACGAGGAGGAGGAGGAGGAGGAGGAGGAGGATATGGCTCTGACTCAGTGACGGGCCAGTCCTGGTCCCAAGATGCGCCCGGCCTCTCCTCGGGGTCGGCCCTGGCCGGGTGGGTACGGGGGTGGCCAGGGATTCCTTGAACCCTGGAGGATCGGGGATCGAGCGAGGAAGGGGAGGAGGGAAAGTGGGAGCAGGGGAAAAATAAGGATAATAGGGGGGGGGGAGGGAGGAGGAGGAGGAGGAGGAGAAGGAGGAGGAGGAGGAGGAGGAGGACGAGGAGGAGGAGGAGGAGGATAAGGAGGAGGAGGAGGAGGAGGAGGAGGAGGAGGAGGAGGAGGAGGAGGGGGGGGAGGAGGAGGGGAGGAGGAGGAGAGGAGGAGGAGGAGGAGGAGGAGGAGGAGGAGGAAGGAGGAGGGGAGGAGGAGGAGGAGGAGGAGGAGGAGGAGGAGGAGGAGGAGGAGGAGAGGGAGGAGGAGGAGGAGGAGGAGGAGGAGGAGGAGGAGGAGGAGGAGGAGGAGGAGGAGGAGGAGGAGGAGGAGGAGGAGGAGGAGGGGAGGAGGAGGAGGAGGAGGTGGAGGAGGAGGAGGAGGAGGAGGAGGAGGGAGGAGGAGGAGGAGGAGGAGGAGGAGGAGGAGGAGGAGGAGGAGGCGAGGAGGAGGAGGAGGAGGAGGATGGAGGAGGAGGAGGAGGAGGGAGGAGGAGGAGGAGGAGGAGGAGGAGGAGGAGGAGGAGGAGGGGAGGAGGAGGAGGAGGAGGAGGAGGAGGAGGAGGAGGAGGAGGAGGAGGAGGCGGAGGAGGAGGAGGAGCAGGCGGAGGAGGAGGAAGGAGGAAGAGAAGGGGTAGCGGGGAGCCAGTCTAGCAAACATCCTCACCCCCCCTCCCTCCCCAGCCACTTTCTCCCCTGCCTTTTGTTTCGCTCTGTTGGCTTCGAGCCAGCCAGCGCGCAGCGCGCACCCGTGGGGAACGATGCAATATTTTCGGCGGGGAAGGTTCGCGGCAGCAATGTCCCCGTTGGCCCTGACCCCCACCCGAGAGTGGAAGCGCCATCGCGGCAACAGGTGCTGATGCTCGACGCCGACATGCTCGTCACCAGGAGCCACGCGGGCAAACAACGGTATGATGCTCAGTACTCTGCCACGGGGAGCGCCTGCCCCAGGGCGGCCGGTGAGCTCACACCGGCGGCGAGCGAGGGGGCAAGTGAGAAGGAGAGGGCCTTCCCAGAAGGCGGCGGGACTTCTCAGAAGCCTTCGCGTCGTCTGAGAAGTTTGATGTGTCTTCGGGGGAGGCCCAGAACACTTCTCGGTAGGGCGGGGGACTTCTGAGCCCTCTGAGGAAGTCTTCTTCTTCTTCTGATTTCCCCCCCGGGGCTCGCCGTCGATCGCGTGCGCCGCCATGGGCGGCATGCGGGGAGAATCGGAGCCGTCCGGTGGTCTGAGGTGGCCGAGCACCGGTTCTGGCTAGCAGAAGGCGGGGGGCAGAGGGGGGCCCCCTCGTCGCCACGGCTGGACGCGGCTCCCCGAGTGGACTCGCACCCTCGGGCTCGGGCTCGGGCGGACTCGCACCCGCACCAGTATCGTCATCACCAGCATCAGCACCATCATCATCAGCAGCATCATCAAGGGCTTTCCTTCGCTCCTGCTTCTCTACCCTGTGCATATCGTCTGCGTTATTGTTCCCAGCAGGTCGGCTGTTCTGGCCCATGCTACGTAACCGCATGCACTCGCAAGCGCGCACAACGCTTGTGCCATACGTTCCACACGTGGTACTGGACGGTGGCAGCGCCACTCGCCATTCCATTTGAAACACCGAGTGGGTAGTCTGATCTGGTAAGGTGTTCAGCAGCGAGGCTAACGGGAACCTCAGGCCCGGGCGGGCTCGCACCCTCCGCTGCGTTTCTGCGCAAGGTGTTCATTGCCACCGCCACGTGGTCCATCCATTTGAGCTCGGCAGACTCGCAGCCAGCGCCTCGGCACAATGGTCCTGCAACAATGAAAACGCTCTGTCTGCACTCCCGAAGTCTACGTACAAGGTAAAGCCATGCCCACGTCTTGTGCCTCAACAGATGCAACACGTTGGCATGCAATACGTCGCGGGGTTGACTTAGCCGGCTTAGCAACATAGTTAACAGAGCGTCCGGCACATGGTGATGGATCAGGGCTCATGTGTTAGGCATCCCTGCTTGACTGAACTTCCCCTTCGTCCGCCACTGGCAGAGGGCGCGTCGCAGGCATGCCCGTGAAGGTGTCCCTGCACGCGCTGACGACAGCATCCCCACCATCACCATCACAGGAGGAGGAGGAGGAGGAGGAGGAGGAGGAGGAGGAGGAGGAGGAGGAGGAGGAGGAGGAGAGGCGGAGGAGGAGGTGGAGGAGGAGGAGGAGGAGGATGAGGATGAGGATGACGAGGAGGAGGAGGAGGAGGAGGAGGAGGAGGAGGAGGA